TGGATAAAGTATTCTAAGGACAATTTCTCCCTCCAATTTTGTACACTTGTTCCAAAATTTCCAAAATTGTCATTATTCCTTTTGGTTCCAACGATCTTAGTAAGAAAACAAACGAACAGGAAGCTCGTGGGTGAGGAAAAAGTACGACCGTGTCTCACATGCAGGTAGCCAAAGCAATCAGAGCTTCTAGAATATGGTTTGTTGGAGGCAGTTATGGGTAACCGAAAAGGGAGGCCGGCAAGAGAGGATAAGGAAAGAATATAGAAACGCTCAACATCGTGAGTCGGCCAATCACCACAGTTCTTTGACTGCTGGCCGCCGCGTCTCCTCAGGGTTAAACGGAGGAGATATTAGCCAAAGATGTTCGTCATCAGAAGGAAGGACAACGATTTCTTGCAAAATAATCGATCTTCATCGGCTCTAATTCTTGGGATTTCAGTTTGCTCTCTCGAAACAGGTTAACCTCTTGCCCTTGTATGCTCTGTTTTTCCCCTGCTATTCCAAGCTTAGATTGCCGAATTCGATTGGTGGATTTATGAACAAATCGTGTCAAACCAAAGCTTATTTGCGATGAATAATGATGATTTAGAGTTGATATACCATGTTTAGGCTAAATATTGCATTGAATTTGAATCTAAAACCTAGATAAAGAATCGGATAATTAACTCAACTCACGAAGAGGAATTCTCATTCATTCAACTGGTTTGCATTACAACCGATAATGCTCCTTAATATATATAGAGGGGTTAAGACTTAGGAAATAGACAAATATTAAAGAGACATGGAAACTACTTAAACAAAAAGGGAAAAATCGACAACTTAATAATTGATAAGATGGTTGATAGTCTCCTTGTCGATGATCTATCGAAGCAAGTTATGACCAAATTCTACCTTAACTTAAATAAACATCAATGGTGCTAAATTTGTCGATATAGTTAAGTAGGATGCTCCTGCATCATTCACCCTGGGTTGTTTGAGATTTGTTCTCAAATCAAAAGAGTCTTCATCTTCCAAACAAGGAGAAAGGTCTCCAACATTAAAAGTTGCTAAAACTCTAAATTCTCTAGGAAGATCAATCTTGTATACACTATTGCCGATTCTCTCAAGAACAATGGGCCATCGGCTCTAGGCGTTAGTTTGTTTTTTCGACGAGATGGAAAGCTTTCTTTCCTCATACGTAACCATACAAGATCACCTAGGTGAAAATAAGTCTTCTTCCGGTGCTGATTAGCTTTCTTCTTGTAAAACTCATTAGCCTTCTCAATCTTGGATTGAATCTGTTCATGGAGCTTTTTCATCGAGTCAGCTGTTTTTTTGCAATCGAAGTTCACTTGCGAGTTAGATGGAATTGGAATCAAATCGATTGGTGTGAGAGGATTAATTCCATACACAACTTCAAAAGTTGATCAACTGGTGGTGTAACTCGTTGATCAATTATAAGAAAGTTCAGCATGCGCAAGCTTCAATCCCAATTTTTCAAAGATTAACTAACCATCCCTCGAAGGAGAGTGGTGTAGGTGCGATTGGTTACCTCCGTTTGGCCTTCAATTTGAGGATGACAAATGATGCTTAATAAGAGCCGCGTACTGCTGCGAATGGCAACTAGCCAAATAGTGTTTGATTCTGTTCTTTTGTTCCCAGAATCAGTTTTGAATAGAAATCCGTTTGTTTAATTTTTTGATTCTGGGCACAAATTCTTGCAAATTTGTGTCCATAATCAGTTTTGGAGCAGAATCAAAAATCAAAAAAAGTAGCTTCTTGATTCTGGGAACAAAAATGAGAATCATTTTTTTTTCTTCTTCTTTTTTTTGGTTTTTAATATAACTTTTAATGTCCGGCGCAAGGGTCACCCTCGCCGTATCTGGCGAGATTAAAATATTTTAATAAAAAAATATTATTAATAAAAAAAATTTAATGGCCATGGCCAGCGACTAGGCCATGGTGAGAAAAATAAAAAAATATATTATTAATAAAAAAAAATTTACCGGCCATGGCCAGTGACCAGGCCATGGCAAAAAAAATAAAAAATATATTTTCAATAAAAATATTTTTTATTAAAATATTATTAATAAAAAAATTATTTATAAAAAAATATTTTACCGGTCATGGGCAGCGACCAGGCCATGGCAAAAAAAATAAAAAAAATATTTTCAATAAAAATATTTTTTTATTAAAATATTATTAATAAAAAAATATTTATAAAAAAATATTTTACCAGGCCATGGCGAAAAAAAAGAAAAAAATATTTTCAATAAAAATATTTTTAAAAAAATTATTAATAAAAAAAATTTATAAGAAAATTTTTTACCGGTCATGGCCAAAAAAAAAATAAAAAAATTATTTTTAATAAAAGTATTATTAATTAAAAAATATTTTACCGGCCATGGCCAAGGAGGAGAAGAAAAAAAGAAAAGAAAGAAATATTAAAATATTTAAAATGTTATTAAAATATTATTAATAAAAAGAAATTTTATGCCGTTACCAAACGCATTTATGTTCTTTTACTATTTCAGGAATAGAAATTTTGGGCCGTTACTAAATGCCTTCAAATGCTCAGAATCAGTTCCCGGGCACAGAATCAAAAAGAATCATTTCTGACCAGAATCTATTTCCGGGCACAAAATGGTTGCCATGCGCAGCCTAAGCATTCTCCATTGTGTCTTTCAAAAATAACTCAAGAACTTAGAATCGCGATCTAACACAATGGTCTTTGGCACTCCATAAAGGCGAATGATCTCTTTGAATTAAAACTCATCCACATGATATGCATCATCCGTTTTTTGACATAGAACAAAATGAGCTATTTTAGAAAATTGATCGACGACTACCATGATGTCATCTTTTCCCTTATGAGTTCTTGGGAGATCCACAATAAAGTCCATACTCACATCTTCCCATGGCTACAATGGAACCGGAAGTGGAGTGTACAGCCCCTAATAGAAATGACTATTAGCTCTTAGACAAGTTGCACACCTCGGACCCATAAAAATGCTCTTGAAGAACCTTGAGAGTTTTATTAACCATGAAGTGATTAGCCAATTCTCCACCATGTGCTTTACGAATCAGTAACTCTCTAAAGGAACTCCCTTGGCACACATAATTGATTTCCTTTGAAAAGAAATCCATCTTGGATAGAATAAGCGACCTAAAATCTATGTTTACATTTGTCGATGATGGAAGAGAAATTCGGGTCTTTCAAATATAGATCTTTCATCAATTGGAAACAAGGATCCTAGAATCCAAAACAGCAAGCATCAAATATCTCCTTGATAAAGCATCCGCTATAACATTAGCGTGGCCAGGTTAATATTTTGAGACAAAGTAAAAGGATTGAAGAAATTTCACCCATTTGCTATGTCTCGAATTGAGTTTGCGTTGGTCGCTAATAAACTTGAGAGCCTCGTGATTAGAATGCATGACAAACTGTTTTGGTTTCAAGTAATGACTCCAGTGATTAAGAGCTTTACAATGGGTATAGAATTCCTTATCATAAGTTAAATAATTCTTCTTCGAATCCGTCAACTTCTCACTAAAATATGCCAAAGGCTTCGGGGCTTGGACTAAAACAACCCCAATGCCAACTCCGCTTGCATCACACTCAACTTTAAATACTTTTATCAATATCAGGAATGGCAAGAATTGGGGACTCACAAAGTTTTTGGTTGATTATTTCAAAAGCATTGTGAGTAGCCTTCGTCCATTCAAAAGATCCCTTCTTCATGCATTTGATGATAGGAGCCATGATGGTACTGAAATTCTTCACAAATCGCCAATGGAATAAAACAAGTCCATGAAAACTTCTTACATAAAAAATGGACTTTGAAACCGGCCATGTTTTTGTTACTTCCACCTTGGATTGATCGATGGAGATCCCATCTTTAGAAACAACATACCCAAGGAATGCGATGCTTGAAGAGAAAAATTGCATTTCTCCATTTTGGCGTAGAGTTTCTGCCCTCTCAACACTTCAAAGACCTGCTTCAAATGAGACATATGCTCCTCCCCATTCCTGCTGTAAATAAGAATATCGTCGTACTATAAGACAATAAATCATTCAATAAAGGAACAAATAATCTCGTTCATGAGTCTCATGAAGGTACTCAAAGCATTAAATAGCCCAAATGGCATAACCAGCCACTCATAGAGACCTCCTTTAATTTTGAAAGCCGTTTTTTACTCATCTCCTTCTCTCATCCGGATTTGATGATAACCACTTCTCAAGTCTATTTTGCAAAATACAGTAGAACCATTTAATTCATCAAGCATATAATCAAGTCTAGGTATGAGATACCTATACTTAATGGTGATATTGTCAGGCTGTGTTTGGTTCAGCTTTCTCAAAGAGCTTTGGGGAAATGCAAAGCAGTTTAACCTAAAGGGCTTTAGGTAAATGTAAAAACTATTTGGTAAACTGTGCTTTGCGAAGCAACTTTGAGAGAAATGCCGTTTGGTAGAAACACATTTAAAAAGCCCCTTTGATGATTAATTTAAGCTTTTTATATTTTTATTTTTTATAATTGAAAAAAATAATGCTCGCAACTTTTTTAATTTAAATATTGACAACAATGTCAAAGATACTGTGTAAACAATTTTATTATAGAAAAATTCCTTTTTTTGCTAAAAAAATTCAAATTGAAAATATTCACATAAAAGTGGACTCTTTCCCAATTTAAAAAAGAATACTTTCATTACAATAAACATGGTAACATATGCTCCGAGGAAAACAAATCATTATCCTTATATATTCTTAAACTTATAGCTATTGGTATTAGCAATTGGATGTCCCATTGTTGCAGTTTTTTCGATCTCAATTGCACCTACATGTAACAATTTTTTTTTCTATGTCAAGCTGCAAAACTGCCCATGTTTTACATCAATCTCAATTGTACCTAAACCTGCTTATGCTTCACTTCACTTTCAGAAAAGAAGGTGCATATATGCATCGTTACAATCGACTCAAACTTACACAGCAAACATCGCTAATTATTTGCAAATGAAACTTTGTTTTGTAGCAAAGAGACTTTATATTAATTAACATGAACTGATTACATCAAGGGCCAAGAAACAGAAGGTTCAACTTCTATGATCAAAATATACCAGAACATTACAAATCCAATGTATATACACCCTTTAAAATCTAAAAGCTCCTGCATAATGGACACTACTGATCTAGAGGTCCATAAATATAAGGTTGCTCTCCTCCACTGAACCACTTCTCCGCAGCAGGTAATCTCCATTGCAACACAGAGATGATCCTACTTCAAAAGTCCCTACATTCTTCGAAGTAGTGTTTGACTGTGAATCTCACAATTTGAATCACAGCATCAACAAGAGGAAGAGACTCAATGCAGCTTGGAGTTCCTGGCTCTCCACTGATAAAAGAGACATGCACAATCACTTCCTTTAGCGGTTTGCTTCAACAAAGACAGTCTGACATTCCAATTGCCAATGCTTCGATGAACGAAACACATCTGCAAAATGCGAACCTAAGTCCAATGAGAACAACCGCACTTGATGAAGTTGCCATCAACTAGTAAAGTGACAAGAACAAATTTGAATGGACATATACACTTCTTAACACACAAATAAAATGCTACCCACTTGCACAATCATCTATATCCTGCAAGAACATCACCAAGTTTATTTCAACAAGACTCAAGTATTTTCTAGTGAGTTTCAACAATTTTGAACAAATTACAGCCAATTCAAGTAAACTTTAGTGAATTTTAGCAATCTACAATAAACTCCCAACATCATTTCAACAACAGTAAATTCTAAAGGACCACGAAGAGAGAGCATCATGCCAAAGACAAACAACCAACACAGAATCAGGACATCGGCAGCATTAGCACGTCCAGGCACCTATCCAGAACAAACCGGATCCTAACCAATTGTTCTTTCTCTATGGACAATCGCTACTTAGAAATCAGGCGATGTGACGAATCCAGATAACCTAATTTTTAGTGGGGCTACATACAATGAATAGAGGGACAGGAGTAGAGATAGTCCTAAGAGAATGACTTCAACCTAAGATTGAGAGGCATAAAAGAATGTGAAGTTGCAGATCCAACGAATAGAGGGACAGGAACAGAGAACGCGAGTTCAAGCTCCAAAAACGACATTTGTATTAGAAAATCTCACCTACAGACAAAGAGGAGAAGGGTAGAGCAGGAGCGGAGCTCAAGTGATGTGAACGAAGTCTAGAACTGTAGATTTAGGGTTTTACTTTTTAAAAGGGATAAAATTGGATTTTTAGTAAGGTTTTGAGGGAAAAATAGGCAACTAACCAATTTTCATTAATTGAGGCCTTCATCATTTAGAAAATGCTGAAAGCTCAAGGTAGGTCCCCACATGCCTTGAGCTTTCGGCCTTTCCAATGCTAGCTTTCACTTGAAAGCTCCTTGGGATGATTGCCAAACACCCCAAATTTTCCTCAAAGGGCTTTGGGCCCCAAATGGGCTTTCAAAATGCTGAACCAAATGCACTCTTAATGGCTCAGTTATCGACACAACGAACCATCCTTTTTGGGCACGAGTAAAGCTGGAACAGAACATGGGTTCATACTTTCTCGAACATATCCTTTGTCAATAAGTTCATCAACTTATCTTTGCAGTTCTTTTATCTTATCCGGGTTGCATCGATGAGCTGTTTTGTTTGATAGAGGAGCACCAGGAAGCAAATCGATGTGATGTTCGATGCCTTTAATGGGAGGTAATCGAGGTGGCAATTCCTCCGAAAACAATTCTGCAAATTCTTTCAACAGGAATGCATTTTCAAACGTAGGGTTCTCTCTTTCTCACTCTTTTTCTTAACCATAAGCAAAGCAAATACATTCTTTTGTTTGCTAGTGGCTCTCTCAAGCCATATTTTACTCAAGAAAAGGTTTTCCTTACTAGTGTTCCCTCTCCAAATTGATTTTTGTGGTTCATGACTCGATTCAGGGGTACAAGAGTAATGCATTTTTGTTCCTTATGAAAAGAATATGTGTTTTTACGCCCATCATGAATAACATTCCTATCATATTGCCAATGCCTACCCAGTAAAAAGTGGCCTACATCCATAGGAATTCCATCACACAGAATCTGATATTGATAATTCTTCCCGATTGAAAATGAAATCAAGGCTTGCTTAGTTACCTTAATATTGCTTCCTTTATTGAGCCATTGAAGCTTGCACAGTTTATGATACTTAGAAGTTGGAATCTTCAGTTTGTCAATCAAGGTTGTTGATGCAACATTGGTGCAACTCACACCATCGATAATCACCGTACACACCTTTCCATTAATAGTGCAACGGGTGTGAAAGATATTTTCCCTTTACTCATCCACTTGTGGAGAATTACGGTGTGTAATGCTCTCCTGATCACTAATAACTCGCCATCATTAGCCTTTTTCAAACTCCGCTTGTCCTTCATATTCTGAGTCATGTTGATCAGAATCATTTTCAGCCTCTTGAAGTGCCAAATTGATCTTCTCAATGTGTGACATTCCGAATTTTGGCCCATTTTTGGGATTTATAAAACGTATAATTCGTCAGTGCGCTTATAATAAAATCTCACCCGGAACTGATCACTCATGGGTTTTTAATATTTTTAAAATTAGAGATTTCGCTAGAATCGCACCCGATCGAATTTGACCGTTATTTAGAGTCCAAACTTTGGTGTCGAATTTCTCGGAGTTCCGGGACGAATTTAATTGGACGGTGTCGATATTATTGTGGCCAGCGTCGGTATTACCCGGAGTATGTGAAAAATGGATTTTTGACCGGGTACGGATTTGGACTGATAGACCTCCCTCATGGTGTGTTTTGACTTATTTTATTTTGGTCCTTTTTCCTATATTATTAATTAGGATTATTGGGGACCGTTAGATCGTTTTTGAGTTTGAACCGTGTCCGTTGGATCGCGATTATTGCGTTTGACTTTTTGGGCTTTCTCTCTCTCTCCTCTGCACGCCGTGTCCCCTCCCCCCTGTGCGCACGTCTCTTTCCCCTTCCCCCATGCAAACTTTCTCTCTCTTCTCTCTCCTCCCTTCTCTCTTCCTTCTTCTCTTTTCTTCTTCTTCCTCTTCCTTCTCCGTGCGTCTGATTCTGCTTCGTCCCGGCTTCTGCTCGCCCATCCGACGCCGCTCGAGCCCGCCTCGACGCGAGCGCCGCCGCGTCGCCGCCTGATCGCTCGCTGCGCTGCCGTCCGCGCCCGCCGCCCGACTACCGCCTCTCCTCCTCCCTGTTCGCACAAGCATGAGCTCGCCCGTGACCGCCTGCGTGCCCAATCGTCCTCGCTGCCGCTCGCGCGGCTCGGCTCTGCCCGCCGCTCGCCGCCGTTGCCGCGGTCGCTGGTCGCCTTGGCCCTAAGCGTCGTCGCTCGTCGCCCGCCAATAGCTCGCGACCTCGCCCGTAGCTCGCCGGGCTCTTCGCCGCCGCCGGCCGGCCTCGCTGGCTGCCGCCGCCGTGCCGCGGTTCGCCCTCTCCCCTCGCCCCGATCTCTCTCTCTCTCTCTCTCTCTCTCTCTCTCTCTCTCTCTCTCTCTCCCCCTCGCCCTCCACCCCCGGCTGACCTTTCCCCCTTCAGCTCGCCGCCGCGCCGTCGCCACCGCCGGTCGTCGCCCCGACCAACCGGCCCCGGCCAGCCCGGCCCGGGCCGTGGCCGGCCCGTTGCCCACGCGACCAGGCCGCGCGCCCGCTCGCCCGGCCGTGGCCGGCGCCTTGCACTGTTCAGCCCGTGCACTCGCCCGTCCGGCTTGCCGTGCGCCCCGGGCACGCCGTTCGGCCACCGCGCCCGCGCGCTGAAGCGCGCCGTCCGGCCATTGTGCTCGCGTTGGCCGGCCACCGCGCTGTTGGCCCGCGCCCGCGCCCGGTCAGATCGTTCACCGGGCCATTTTAGGCCCGAGCCGACTTTTCCCGGGCCAAACTTAGGTAAGTGACTTCCTAAACCCTACCTAGTACTTTGGGTATTTTTAGACTTGTTTAGGGTGAAATTTAGTACCGGCTTAGGACTTTAATTAGGCGTGGGCTAATTAGACTGATTGTGCTTAATTGGTGAATTATTATGGCGATAATTGTGCGGCTGATTTAGTGATTGACTGAGATAAATATGCCTGACTGAATTGTCGTGGCGCTTGTGGGTGAATTGGATTATTTGAATGTGCCGACATGAATGTCGGGTCGGTGGACCGATGTGGGGAGTGTGAATTAAATTGATTGTTAGAGTGTGTCAGATTGACATTGGTGTGAGCTTGGTAATTTGATTGTGAAATGTACGACGTGTTAGATGACAGATTGTGTGGTGGTGCATGTGCATGAGAGAAATGTCCTGAGGCGTGGTTACGCGGGACTGAGCCCGGCTTGATCTGAGGGCTGCCAACCTGAGGCGTGGTTACGCGGGTGTGGCTAGAAAGGCAAGTAATGACCTGAGGCGTGGTTACGCGGGTCGAGAGAAATGTCCTGAGGCGTGGTTACGCGGGACTGAGCCCGGCTTGATCTGAGGGCGGCCAACCTGAGGCGTGGTTACGCGGGTGTGGCTAGAAAGGCAAGTAATGACCTGAGGCGTGGTTACGCGGGTCGAGAGAAATGTCCTGAGGCGTGGTTACGCGGGACTGAGCCCGGCTTGATCTGAGGGTTGCCAACCTGAGGCGTGGTTACGCGGGTGTGGCTAGAAAGTCAAGTAATGACCTGAGGCGTGGTTACGCGGGTCGAGAGAAATGTCCTGAGGCGTGGTTACGCGGGACTGAGCCCGGCTTGATCTGAGGGCTGGCCTGAGGCGTGTTGACGCGGGCCGTGTGAAAGGACCTGGGAGGTCGTGAGAAAGTTGCTCGGCCACGCATGCGAATTGAGTGTGATTGAATTGACTGGTTGAATTAGTTGGAGTGATTGAGTGAAAGCATGGTTGGTGTTTGAGCGATTTGTGATGTGTTATTTAATTACTATTATTGCCTTATCACGTGACGACTAACGTGTAGAGTTGGCATGGACTTGATGGCGAGGTAAGTACAATGATGCGAATTTTTATATGTTATGGGGTAGATTGCATGTCTGACTTGTCTGGGTACGCATTGGCCTACGTGGGGTTTAGGGGGTTGCTTATTAAGACTCGTTCTCACGGTTATTATATAACCATTTCAGATCCGCGATCGTAATCGATTCGGAGACGCCGCCAGAGCACCACAGGGATTGAAGAATAGATCATGTACCCTGTCTTTTGAGTACCCTTTTGTAGAGGAGATAAGCTTGTCAACCACCGCCCCCTTTTGAAAACTGTGGTTCTAAATTGGTAGCCCGAGTTATCGTTTTGTATAGTGACTACTTTATGATGGTATGCAGTTATTGTTTCGTACTATCCCTTTGTCATTGTTTATTGTCTAGGTTAATTAGTTTCGCTTCCGCTTGCCTTTATTGTTGGGTGTTTCGTTTGGGTCGGCGACGCGTCCTGGGACGTCGCGTTCAATGATTGACCATCGAGGGATGACCGCGCGCTCGTAGGGTGCGGGGCGTGACATCCCTGTTGATTTGGTATCAGAGCAAGGTCAGCTCGATCCAAGTGGTCGAAACCTGGAGTGATAAGGAGCGATGACTTTGGGGTAGTCAGTTAGGGAGTTTTGTGTGTCATGCGTATCCCAGACTGTATGATTGTGATTGCTGAGTGGTTTTTATGCAATATTATGTGAAGTGCAGGTGCGTCAGGACTTGAGGTAAGTGCACGAACTCTGTTGGTTGTGATTGGGTGTTGTTGTGGTTGGCTGCCTGCTTAATGAAATGTGTTGTGATGCACTGCCTAGGGCTTAGACTGGTATAGTTGGCCTAGGTCTCTAATTCATGCGTGGAATTTAGCAAGTGAGCCTTGTGAGGACCGATAAGATGAGCGGTCGAGGTCGAGGTAGAGGTCGAGGTAGAGGTCGAGGTCGAGGTCGTATAGCCCCGCAAGATGGAGTTGTGGGGGATCCCAGATT